GGGCGGGGCTTGACGTCGGGCGGGGCCCGATGGTTGTCAGGCAAGGCCCAATGTATGTATGGTATGTGGTATTTTGGGGAACTCACTAAGCTTTGTGCTTACAGTTTTATGGTTATGGTTTTAGGTGCTTTCGGATCGAAATGGAAGGGCCCAACTTGATCGCAGCGCATCCACCCATGTTTCCGCAACTTCATGATTTTGGGATTGTACTCTGATAACTGTTTTTATTCTGAAATACTTTTGAATAATCAGAAAAAGGATAATTGGTGTTTCTGGTTGAATTAAAAATGAAATTTTTACCTTATAATTTTTGGGATGTTACATGAGATGCTCAAATATAGGAGAAAATTGGTCAACCAAGGCAATTCAACACAATGGACATTTGTGTGTTTATCATTAGGATTCAATATATTATCATTCATCCTAAATTGATTATAGCAAATGTAATATAGAGGTTAGGGAAGCCCACAACACACCTTCTTAATCAAAATCAAGGATTCAATTGAAGCAATTGAACCCGAGAAAGTTGATTAGCCTTAAGAATGAAGAAATCCCCAATTCCTGGAGGATGTCAATGCTTACACATCTATAAAGGAGTCATGATTCATAAGCTATATATGATTTCTACCATTATAAAACCCTTGTTCTAAGGAAATTCAATGATTCAATGCTAAACTAAAAAAATAAACCAACAATTGTTCATTCAAGTACCAAGCTCATGATCAAATTATTAAACAAGCATAAGAAATATGAACTAGAATCATAAACAAAAGATAAATGAAAATCAAGCATGAATCCTTCAAAACCCACAAATATCCAAGGGTTTTAGCCAAGTCAACCAAAATAAAGAGATTAGTCACTCATGGCAACAAGATAACAATCACAAAAGTGTTTTTGCATCAAGAAACTAACAATTACTAGAAGGATGAGAAGAATGTAGATCAAGCTCTCAAAAATCGCCTCCAAGGTGCTCCAATGGTGGAAAAATCAAAGTGTAGCTGCCAAACATAAGCCCCCCCCCCCCCCCCCCCAAGGTAAAATGGTGAGCAAAATTACCAAAGTGCCCCAAAGTGTGCAGTTGTGCGGGTACCCTCGCAAGTTTGCATGACTGAGACCTCCACCCTCGGAAATGGTGCTGAAACGCTATTGGCTCTTTTTCTCCACTACTCCACCCCACTACTCAAGATTCCTTTGGTCCCCTTCACGCCTCACATGATTCAAATTTGGCCAATCATCTTCAAGCTTCAAATGGATAGTCCATGCCCAATAATAAGAGTCCATGACCCATCTTCACAAGCCCACTTCATCCAAGTCTTTAACATTTTAAGCCCTAATCCTCTTTGATGGATCTGAAAAGCCTAATAATGTCTCGAAAGCCCACCAAGCTCATCTCCAAGCCAAACCGCAATTGCATCGAGACTCAAGAAGCCTACAAAACATCTCATGCAAAATAGAAAGTACTCGGTACAATCCAAGATAAATTATGAGATAGAATATAATGCAATACTAATAAAAAGGGCTAAAAATCTAAAATAAACTATAAAAAAGAAGGAAATAAAATAAACTATTAATGCCCTTCTCAAACATCAAAATATCATATATATATATATATATATATATATATATATATATATATATATATATATATATATATTATATATATATATATATGTTGTTCTTGAACATCAAAATATCATTGGTATTATCTAAAATATCCTCCATCTACAACATCATATTAAACGACAACAAAACTAAACAATCAATGCATACATTCTATGAAGAGGGCTGAAGATGAAACGTTTTGTTTGTCTAGAGAGCGACATTCCAACAATTTAGAAGTAGACGTTCCATTATTATAAACGTATGGATAATATGGTTAAAAATTTTAATTATTATAATAATTTTAAGATATAAAAATGATTATAAACTATTAAAAACATTAGTAATTTTTTTGGGCAAATATGATCTTGTGAAGGTTTATAAACGGTAAATATGATACTAAGAAATTAGTTTGGACAAATATAATATTTTGATGTTTAAGGACATATATGAAATTCTATTTTTCTTTTATATATATATATATATTATATATATATATATATATATATATATATATATATATAAAGAACACCTTAAAAAATATTTAGCTTGACCCATTACAAAAAGGTCAATATTTAACATATTTGCAATATCTTTTTGTGTTTAAATGATATGTTGATGATTACAAAAAGGTCAAAAGTTGATATATATTTTGCTTACATTTTCTTTCGTGATCAAACGATTAAGAAAAACATTTTTGGCAAAATGAGTTTTTATCCTTTTTTTTAAACAAAAAATTCATAAAAAGTTATTTCAAATGACGAATACAATATTCAAACTCACGGATGTCTAGTTTAATTGAGATGAAAAAAATAATTGGTCAAAAAAAATTGATTATCAGTTCGGAATGTCAATAATACCTCCTAAAACAAATATAATATAATATTCTTTAATACTAAAGGTCGCACTTATTTTAAAAATCCTAATCAATGTCTTATAATTATTCACGAAATTTCACATTTTGAAAACAATCTATTAGCGCATCATTGTTTTTTTTTTTTTTTGAACCGGCAAATATTTTATAAAAAGACCACGGTTAGAAAGTAGCTAGAAGGGCAAGAAAAAGGGAGAACAAAAAGGCTTTAAGAAGAAAGGAAAGAAGGCAGGAAACATGAACAGAGAAGGATGAGAGGGTGAATGCACCAATCCACCGAATTACATACATATAAGGAACTCCTTTGCTTAATCCATATGTATACTAGTGATTGGATGTTGTCTGCAACCTTCGTTGGTGGAATACGTAGTTTCTTGAACAACCTGTCATTCCTGGCTTTCCAAATCCACCAGAGTGTACCATAGCAAATACACGTCAAGATTTTCCTTTTCTTTGGACAGTGATCCCAATTGGTTGCATAGTTTACGATGTACCCTACTGTATTAAAATCGAATATTACTATAAACTCAACTATTTTTTAAATTTGTTAGGACAATATTTAATTTCCTTTTTTGTTCTTACTATGGTTTTTGGCTTTCTTTATTTCTCTAACGTTTTCTCTTCTCACCTTCCATATTATACTTTAATAAAATCGAATATGAACCAAAAACTGAGAAAAACAAAATATCTAAACCGAAACAACAATGGTTTGCTTTTTATATATCAAAGAGGAAAAAAAAAAAAAAAAAAAAAAAAAAGTGAACTGAACTACATAAAACAAGCATTGGTTTTGTATAAAGTTTAATTGATTAGGTATGTTAAATTTAAATTAATTAACATGTATTTACGACTATACGTTTAGTTTTTATCTAATTTTATATATCTTTAAAAATTATGAGTTATTTTTGTCGAATACTACTATACAAATAAAAGATGTAACTTTAAGCTATTAACTAGTTTTGGTAAGCAAGCCCTAAATGTTGTACGGTTTGTGTGTTGTGATGAAAATATTACTTGTGACATAGTTTGCATTCTATAAAAACTCCCTTTGAAATAGGTAAAATGTAAGATCCGAACAAATTGTTGTAGAATCACATAAATGAAGGGTCAAATAGTGGATCGCATTCCACAAGTGTATATGTTCATATCATAAATACTCTTGTAGAATTATAGACAACATTGAAGTTGAACTCGTAATACTTAATAATAATGGTAAAACATTTGACACATACGAGTAGACTTAACAACACATATTTAAGATTCTGACGCCTGTTGTGAAAATGTTTAATTAAGAAATTCTGTTATCGACGATGCCATTCATCCACATCCACATGATATGCGATTGCTATGCTAGGATGAAATGAAACTTACTTATGTGAAATCTGCTAACTTTCTCGTTCAACAAATTGGAATCAAATATATGGTGTTATTGCTTTAATTATTAATGCAACATAAGTCGTGCCTGAACAGTGACAATTGACCATGACTGACTAATGTAATTAAGAGGATTCAAACTAAATCTAGCTACGAAATATGAAATGTCAATAACTTTGTATGCAGCCAGCCAGCCCCTACTACTTTCGTTGTTTGTTTGTTTTGGTCGGACAATGAAGTTGATGAGCATGTTCTTGTGAACCCTGGCCTGGTGAAAATGTTGGTTATTGTATTAAATTTAGTAGGTAGGTGCCATTAATGTTTCAAAGCCATTGACCCAAACATGTTGATGCCTCCCTTTCCCTCGTATATTGAATATAAGAAGAAAAGGTTAAAAGCTTGACCAACTTGAACATTAAATTTTTTCCCTGACAAATGAAGGTAAAGATGAATTCCTTCCTTCCGACAATACGCACTCACTTACACAACACTTTCGCAGAGTACCAGATTTGACTAAAAATGCGGCACTCAAACTAATAAGAGGGTATCATATACATAAGAAGTCAAGTTATTCCAAACGGAGGATGTAATATAAATGCGTATGAATGATTAAATGGTTTTGTAGACTGAAGTTTGTATTTCACTGTCATCTGGTTTTCACACTTAAACAAGTTCCACTCCCACATGCTTGGTATTTGGTATGATAGATTAAATCCTTTTTGGTTAATAACATTAACGGGTATATAATGGGAAAGGATGATTATATCATATATATATATATATATATATATATATATATATATATATGCATGATAATTCATTTGATTGTAAAAAATATACAATGATGACATTAGTTTTTGTTACAATAAACATGTTTTGTGAAAATTTTGCATCTAAAATGATTGTGAGATTTAAATGAGTAGGATTATGGGTAAACTAAGGTAGGTACTTTTTGGCCAGGTTTACTAATAGGACAAGATGGATGTCACTCAATCTAAATAGTCTGAAAATGTACAAGTCTTGATAGACCAGACCAAATGACACAATCATAAACAGTTAACAGTGTATGTCATGTCATCTGTATACCATTTTCCAGTCTACAAGTTAGTGTAAGTTGTAGTGTGATTTTTAAACAGTTTTAAAAAACTTAATTCATCAGACAAAACTAATAACTACTAGTTGAGTTGCTATGCCAAAAGCTTAGACGTTTTGCTTTGCAAAGTGGATTACAAAAAAACAAAAATAAGGGTAAACTTGCAATATACATACAGGCAAACAAGAAATAGGTTGAATACAGCTACAAAACTGTGTTTTGCGTAGGTAGTTATAGAAGGTGTTTCATCATATAAGGACCTTGAAGCTCATAACCCAGTTTCCTATAGTAATGGCGTGTCCCAACACCTGAGATAACAGCTATTTTTGTGGACCTGTGTTCCTTACGAGCAATCCGCTCTGCCTCTTCCATAAGCAGTGTACCATACCCCTGACCATATCCAAATTCCAAACATAACATTCATATATATTATATAACATCTTTTTATGAAACCTATAAATATGATTATTAAAAAGAAAAGAAAAAAAAATCATGTAGATTAGTCAGCGTAGTAGTACCTGATGTTGCAGTTTATCAGCATCACGTCCATGAACAGGAACAGCAGTTCCATAAACATGGAGTTCACGAACAATTGAGCATTTTCCAACAAGTTCTGGGCATGTAACGTTCTTCCCACATCTTCGTAACCGCAGTAATCCAACCAGAATATCCTACACATCCAATATTCAACTCAAACAATATCAAACATGGAATTTAAATTTAAAAATAATAACTCACTTAATTGAATTTAAGTCCATCTTACCTGTCGTGTGTCTTCATATGAAAGAAAAGTTTCCCATCCTTCATTGGCAGTATAATCTCGCCGAACAAGTTGAACCTCATCTGGCCTTATCTTATGGTGAATATCCTACATACAATTAAAATGCATAAGAAAATTATTAAAATATATATATATATATATATATATATATATATATATAGCAACATATATTATAGTAAGAATAACAGAAGTTAAAACAAATACAGCTTACTTGAATCCCAGCTTCACGTGTTCTAACATCCCTACATTTCAGACCCAAATCATCCATTCGAGCCAAAGCTAGCTCTCTTAGATTTCCTTTTTCGACCCCAGAAGTAACCAAAGGCATTGGAATATCTCTCTGAACTCTATAAACACGTGTCCATGGAGGAACCATGGACAAAATCCGGGCTACAATGTCCACAAGCTGTTCTGGAGGGTAATTCCTATACCTACCAGTCTTCCAAAGCTCATAAAGACCAGTCCCACGAATCACAAGTGTTGGATAAATCTTAAGCCCATCAGCTCTAAAACAAGGACTCTCAAAAAACTCCTTAAAACTTTCCATATCCCTCTCAACCCCTACATTTGGAAGATCAGGCATCATATGAGCAACCACCTTAAAACCTGCATCTTTTGCCAGAGAGAAGCAATCAGCTACAGCTGCTACTGTGTGCCCTCTATTTGTGTCACGAGCAACATCTTCATATGTGCTTTGGACTCCGATTTCCAACCGTGTGCAACCATAAGAAAGCATTTGGCGCAAGTGGGGCCCAAGACAGTAATCTGGCCTCCTAAAACAGTTACAAAAACATCCTTGTTAATAGCCATAAAAAAAAAGATACGAAATTTGCTGTAACTCACGTTTCAATGGTCATCCCGATACATTTTGTTGCACCATGTTCAGAATAAGCTACAGCTTCTTCAACGTTTGCAGAAGTGTGCCCTGATAAAGCATCATGAAGATTCCTTATGAAGTAGTCTCGATATTCAGCAGGTAATGACATGAATGTGCCACCCATCAAGATGAACTCCACCTGGAAGATCAAACCAATTGGTAATTTTCCATCAACTGTATTCATTCAATAATTCTTAAGTGAAACCATGAAAACTTTTGTATGTATAATGAAATTGTATTAAACCTTATCTACACTGTGACCCAGTCGCTTCAGTTGGTCAATCCTGCTCCTGGCTTGGACATAGGGGTTATATCTGGAAACATAAACCAGTAAATGTCAAGAAACTTCAAACAAAGAAAGTTCTTCCATGTGTGAAGAATATATACTTTATAAGTGTATGCAACTCTTTAGAGTTTAGACAATACTTTGGGTATCTTTTGTAACTAAGTCTTGATATTACTTCATGGTAGATTTACTGGCCATTAAAACCCAAGGCAGACTAGCTTACAAATTACAATGTCTGGAAACATAAATCAGTACATGTCTACCTTCAAACAAAGAAAGTTCTTCTATGTGTGAAGAATATATACTTGATATGAGTATACAGTATACATACTCTTTAGACAATACTTTGGGTAGCTTCTGTAACTAAGTATTGATATTATCTCATGTTAGATTTGCAGCCATTAATACCCAAGGCAGACCAGCTTATAACGGATAACCTATAGTTTCTCCAGGTGCAACTAACTGAATCCTAGAGTCTCAATCGTACTCTTGTTTCTGCAGCAAAGTGACAAATACAAGTGCATAGGTAGTGTATAGCATCTTATATATGTATATGCTGCGAACTATCACAACACTGGAATACAAACAGAATAAGCGTACGCTAATTTCAGATGAGATCAGTCGGAATCGGAAAATAGAAACTTACCTAGCACGAATGGCTCGCATGCTAGTCGGCTCGTATCCAGTATAAGACTGCGTGCTATACTCAAAATCCGAATCAGGACCACCGGGACAATATACACATATATTCCCGGTTGTGGCTATATGCGGACACCGATGCGGCTTAGACATGACAGCCACAACGGCAATTCCGGAGGCCGTCCGGACCGGCTTTGCTCGGAGCTTCGGTAGGAGAGCCTCACGCTCGGAATCAGGGAGCGCGGCGATCATTTCAACGAGCTTGGGAGCACGTGATAAACCGTACTTGCGGCATGCGGCGGATTTTAGGGCATTAAGGTCGACCTTTTCGCCGTTACGAGATAGCTCTACCATGTTGTTTACGATCTCGGCTATGGCTCTAACTCTTGATTCTTCCTCGGAGAGTCCCTGGGATACTACGCCACCGCGGCCTGGCCGCGGAAGCTTTCTCGTGTCGACTGCGACCATCGCCGTCGCCATATCAGAGTGGAGGGGAGAGTTTACGGAAGGCGCAGAAGGTCAAGTCTCGAGGGTTTTGACTAGAGGTGTTGAGATAACCGAATATTACTTATTATAACCGTGACAAAGTAAATAATATATACATTATAAAAATAGTAAAATCTTATATACATGTAAACTTGTTATGAATTAAGCGTAATTAATGTAACTATAAATCAAACCAAACTAGTAAACTTTGATAAGAACTTTAATTGAGAAGAAAAGAATATTTAGAGAGAATATGAAAGTTATATCTCTTATAACTTTTGGTGTATCACATTCTTTACAATGGAGGGTATTTATACTACAAATTTTACTAACATATAATTGTAACTAGTTAGAAATGTTGACAAATGTACCATGCACCAATTATTATGTCATCCACCAATTATTTACAACACTTCCCCTTGGATGACATCATTTTAGCGTTCAACTTTGACGTACTGCCTCATTAAAAACCTTGCTAAAGAAAACCCAGTGGGAAAAAAACTTTAGCGAAGGGAAAAAGAGTGCAGTGTATAGTTGACTCTCTCTTATTTAGACACCCGTCACATTATATTCTATGCACATGTCGCATTCCGATGCCATGGACATGTTTCCTAAAGATTGCAGTAGGAAGTGCATTCGTAAAAAGGTCTGCTGCATTGGTACTGGATTGACAATATTTGATTTCAACTTGATGGTTCTTTATAAGCTCTTGAGTGTACTCAAAAAACTTTGGAGGTATATGTTTTGTCCTGTCGCTCTTGATATATCCCTCTTTCATTTGAGTGACACATGCTGAGTTATCTTCATAAATTAAAGTTGGACATATATCCTTTTCAAGTCCACATGAAGTTAAAACTAGTTGTGTCATCGATCTTAGCCATGTACATTCTCTACTAGCTTCATTTAGTGCAATTACTTCAGCATGATTTGAGGATGTGGCAACAAGTGTTTGCTTTTGAGAACGCCAGGAAATTGCAGTACCTCCATTCATGAATACATATCCAGTTTGAGATCTAGCTTTATGAGGATCAGACAAATAACCTGCATCTGCATAACCAATCAAGCCTTGTTTTGAATTGCTAGGGTAAAATTACCCTAAATCACTAGTTCCTCGAAGGTATCGAAAAATATGTTTGATTCCATTCCAATGTCTTTTTGTTGGGGCTGAACTAAATCTTGCTAGCAAGTTTACAGCGAAAGAAATATCAGGTCTAGTACAATTGGTAAGATACATAAGAGCTCCAATTGCATTTAGATATGGTACTTCTGAACCAAGGACTTCTTCATTTTCTTCGCATGGACGAAATGGATCTTTGTCAATATTTAATGATCTAACAACCATTGGAGTGCTTAAAGGATTTGCATTTTCCATATTGAAACGTTTCAAGACTCTTTCTGTGTAATTTGATTGATGCACAAGTATTCCGTTAGGCATATGCTCAATCTGTAAACCAAGACAATATTTGGTTTTTCCAAGATCTTTCATTTCAAATTCTTTCTTTAAAAGTTCAATCACTTCAAGGATTTCTTTATTCGTTCCAACGATGTTAGATCATCAACATAGACTGCTATGATCACATATCCAGATGTTGTTTTCTTAATAAATACACATGGACAAATAGTGTTATTTTTATAACCTTTACTTGTCAAATAATCACTTAAACGATTGTACCACATGCGCCCAGATTGCTTTAACCCATACAAAGATCTTTGTAATTTTATAAAATACATTTCTTTGGGTTTTGCACTTAACGCTTCAGGCATTTTAAATCCTTCAGGGATTTTCATATAGATATCACTATCAAGTGATCCATACAAGTAAGCTGTAACAACATCCATAAGACGCATCTCTAAATTTTTAGATACTGCCAAGCTGATTAAATATCTGAAAGTGGTTGCATCCATTACCGGTGAATAAGTTTCTTCATAATCAATTCCAGGTCTTTGAGAGAAACATTGAGCAACAAGTCTGGCCTTGTATCTTACAATTTCGTCTTTCTCATTTTTTTTCGTACGAAGATCCATCTATATCCTAATAGTTTCACAACTTCAGGTGTGAGGATACTGTTCCCAAAAACCTTTCTCTTGTTAAGAGAATTTAATTCAACTTGCATAGCTTCCTTCCATTTAGCCCTTTTCTTCTTTGACATTCAATGACAGATTGTGGTTCGGGATCATCATTCATAATATCACATGCAACTGAATAAGAAAATATTGCACCTTTATTGTCAGTTTCATTTTGGTCACATATTTTATTTGTCTGACCATAATTTAATGCATCATCCTCCTTTCGTGGGGGAATTTGGATAATTCGTGTTTCTCCAGGAACACTTTCATCGTGATCTAGTGCATTTTCTGCTCCTCTTCTTTTTCGTTGGTTCTTATCCTTAGAACCAAATGGCCTTCCACGCTTCAGGCGTGTTTTAGACTCTTGAGTGACTTTATCATCAGATTGTCCATGTGGAATGTCAATTCGAGCTGGAACATTGACAGCTGGTATATATGATTTAGTCACCCTTTTTGTGTCAGTAAATGCATCAGGTAATTGATTTGCCATTTCTTGGAAATGCATTATCTTTTGAACTTCCATGTCACATTGCTTTGTGCGAGGGTCAAGATATGATAAAGTAGGCTCATGCCATGACACATCCTTTTCCATAATCTTCTTTTCTCCACCTAATGATGTGAAATTTGCCTCATCAAATTGACAATCTGCTAGGCGTGCTGTGAAAACATCACCTGTTAATGGTTCAAGATATCTTATAATAGAGAATGACTTATAACCAACATATATTCCCAACCTTCTTTGAGGACCCATTTTTGTCCGTTGAGGTGGTGCAATAGGGACATATATTGCACACCCAAAAATTCTCAAATGGGATATATTTGGCTCTTGACCGAAAGCAAGTTGTAGTGGAGAATATACATGATATGAACTTAGTCTCATGCGTATCAATGATCCAGCATGTAAGATTGCATGGCCCCAAACGGAAACAGGAAGTTTGGTCCTCATTATCAATGGTCTAGATATTAGCTGGAGACGTTTAATCAGTGATTCAGCTAAACCATTTTGTGTGTGTACATGAGCAACCGGATGCTCAACAACAATTCCTACAGACATACAATAGTCATTAAATGCTTGTGAAGTAAATTCACCAGCATTATCAAGTCTCACTCTTTTGATAGTATAATCAGGGAAATGTGCCCTTAATTTAATAATTTGGGCAAGAAACTTTGCAAATGCCATATTACGAGTTGATAATAGGCAAACATGAGACCATTTGTTGGATGCATCTATTAAGACCATAAAGTATCTAAATGGTCCAGATGGTGGGTGAATCGGTTCACATATATCACCTTGAATTCTTTCTATAAATCTAGGTGACTCCCTTTCAACTTTCATTGGAGAATGTTTTATAATTAACTTTCCAAGGGAACAAGATGTACATGGTTTTATACTATTGGATTGAGGGAACTTTTGGTCCTTCAATGGATGCCCGTGTGTATTCTCAATTATCCTTCGCATCATTGTTAATCCTGGGTGGCCCAACCTATCATGCCATAAACTGAATGTCCCAGTATCACAATGTTTTCCTTCTACTACCATATTTGATTCAATCATATGTATATATGTATAATGCAGACCAAAATCAAGTGTTGGTAGTTTTTCAAGCACATGGTTTTTGTCTATAATATACATATATTTATTATTTTCAATGGTCACAGTTTTTGTGTCATAACCTTTGAAATATATGTCGTTGAAACTTAATAAGTTTCTATTAGACTTTGGAGAAAATAAGGCATTTTCTATACAAAAGCTTGTACCATTTGGTAATATAAAATGGGGTTTCCCGGTTCCCTCTATCAAGTCTGCAGGACCTGATATTGTATGTATGACTGTTTTTGTTGGTACTAATTCTGAAAAATATTTCTTTGATTTCAGAATAGTATGTGTACTACCACTATCTGCTATACAAAGATCTCCAATCTTTTCTTGGTGTTGTGCTCCAGTTGGACTCATATTAAACTTCACATATAAAGGAATAACAAGTGAATAAACATAATCATAATTATTATTAAAAAGAAAGTTCATTTATTGTAGGAAAGACATTACATGAAAAACAAACGAAGGAAAAACAGTTTTACTAGAACAATAATAGATTTTTTTTAGATTATGTCTTCCATGTCATTGCAGAAATCAGCAACATTTAGCGGAGTGAATTCAACATTATCAATGAGGTTTACTTATTTTCCTTTTCCTTTAATGGAATCTTGATAAAGTTGACAAAGATGTGCAGGTGTGCGACAGGTCCTTGACCAATGGCCTGTGCTACCACATCTATAACATGAACCATCAGATTTTTGTGATGTCCCAGTGTCATGCCTTGCCACTTTGGCCTTATCTTGTGTGTGGACATTGTTTCTTTGTGAATATTGGTAATTATTTCTTTTCTGTCCACGACCACGATTATTACCTTGTCCACGACCAGAATTATGGTTCTGATTATGGCTTTGGTTTCGATTAAAATAGCCACGGCCTCGCCCTCGTCCACGTGTATTGTTTCGATGACTATCAATATTTGTAGCATTTGCTTCAGGAAGTGCTACTGATCCTGTTGGACGAGATTCATGGTTTTTCATCAAGAGTTCATTGTTTTGCTCTGCAACGAGCAGACATGCATTCAGTTCAAAATATCTTGTGAACTTTTGCATCCGATATTGTTGCATCAAGGTAATGTTTGTTGCATGAAATGTTGAGTAAGTTTTCTCCAACATATCTTCATCAGTAACCTCTTGTCCACAATACTTGAGTTGTGAACATATTCTGAACAAAGCTGAGTTGTATTCATTTACTTTCTTGAAGTCTTGAAACCTTAGTGTTCTCCATTCATCTCTAGCGTTTGGAAGTATAACTTCCTTTTGATGATCAAATCTTTCTTTCAAAAGATTCCAGAGAATACTTGGATCAGTAACATCAAGATATTCAAATCTCAACATTTCATCAATATGCTTACGAAGGAAAACTTGTGCTTTTGCTTTGTCTTGTGCCAAGCAGTTATTAAATTCATATA